TAAGCATTATTTTTGACTTACTTTTCATTGTTCTCTAAGCATTCTGAACTACTTCTAGGATATAAGCTGCCATTTAAACAAATAGGTATGGTGATTGTTTGTCTTTTATTTTTTTTCTTATTTATTTATTTTGTGAAAGGAATAGAATCGATCTTATATATATTTCACCTCTTTCATGTCTACTGTATATTAAGTATATATATGTCTTAGTTTTTTTTTTTTTTTTTTTTTTGAGGAATTATATATGAATTGTGAGATTTGTTTGTTTGTTTGTTTGTTTTTTTTTTTTTTGTTCGAGAGTGTTTTTTTATATGCATATGACTTTGCTATAATCTTTCTATGTTTATTTATTAGAGTTAATTCCAACAATGGTCCTCCGACTATTGCGATTTTTCAAAATTGGTCTTCGACTTTTAATTTGAACGAAAAAGACACTTGACTTTCTAATTTGTTCCAGCAAAAGTCCTTCTGTTATCCATCCGTCTCTTAGCCATTAGTTTAGGGTGAAAATTGTATTTTCATTACCTATGCTTCTGCTTCCTCATTTTGGTCCGTATATGTAGGCATTTGATGCAGAGAAGCAATGCTTCTTCATCCTAATAATGTCTTGTTGGAGAATATGAAATCAAAGGGGGGAAGAGCAAAACTGACAAGAAATTGCTCTCAAGCGAAAATAAGTTGATAAAGCAGCAAAATCAAAGGCCTTTCTGATGGGGTTGAGAAGATAAGGAGGAATAGGCACATTTGCAGTTATGTACTTAAAGTTGGGAAGAGAACTGAGTATTTGCCGACCGGATTCAGAGACTAGGTTGGTATTAGATCTCAGTATTGCGGCAGTAGAAGTTTTATCAAACTTGGTTTCTCTCCAGTCATCTTCGCCAACCGTCGCTGCCGCCGGCCTTTCCCGCTTTATAAATCAGCCAGATCCACTACTTCAGCTTGGTCTCAACATCAGAAACAGCAAAGAAAACAGTAGCAGTTGTTGGCAACACCCCACTATCTAAACCCCCTAACACCCCCCCCCCCCCCCCCCCCCCCCAAAAAAAAAATATCCATCCAAAAAATAGAGACCAGACCATACCACACACTTTTTTTTTTCAAGGAAATAATGAATTGAATATGTTGCCAAGAGCTCTGTTTCCATGCACATCAGTTGGTTTAATTGATTGTGCCCAACTGATTAAGAGAACAATGAGAAATGAAAATTTGTTTGTACAGGAGGAAACCAACACCCACCTAGGAAACACCAAAACAAAATTTGACCTTTCAGATTCAAAATTTCAACATACATGGCAGAGCAACCATCTTTTTTAATTTAATAACTTTTAGTTATTTTCGGAAGAACAAATTGCACTTTTGGTCCTGTGAGTATTAGGGTACTGACAATTTGAGTACGTGACTTTCAAAATTCCCAATTTAAACCTTTAACTATGCAATTTTTGGCAGATTTGGTCCTCCGGGCCAAATTGCCGACCAATTTTGGCCGAAAAAAGATTTAATGCTTCGAATTAATTTCTGATGAGGGTAAAAACGTCATTTCTTATATATTGTAGCAACGGCGAATCAAAACGGTGAGTACCCAACCTGTCCCTGTGCCCCCAATCCGAGTTCAATCGCCGGAAAATGCAGCCTAACTCCGCGGATTCCGACCTTCCACGCATTGCCAACGTCAAAGTCCGTTCATCTTCCCCGCGCTTTCCGCCTCCCGCCACCCCGTCTTCCACCGATACCCCCACGGCCGGAGCCCAGCGTAAGATCGGCATCGCCGTAGACCTCAGCGACGAGTCTGCCTTCGCCGTCAAGTGGGCGGTCCACCACTACCTCCGTCCCGGGGACGCCGTCATACTCCTCCATGTCCGCCCCACCTCTGTTCTCTATGGAGCTGACTGGGGTTTTGTTGACCTCCATCGTCGACACTGACAACGAGGAGTCGCAGCAGAAGCTGGAGGATGATTTCGACACTTTTACTACTACTAAGGCCACCGATCTGGCTCAGCCGCTGGTGGACGCGCAGATTCCATTCAAAATCCACATCGTTAAGGACCACGATATGAAGGAGAGGCTCTGCCTCGAGGTCGAAAGGCTGGGACTCAGTGCCGTCATCATGGGGAGCCGTGGATTTGGGGCTACTAAGAGAGGAAATGACGGAAGGCTTGGCAGCGTTAGTGATTACTGTGTTAGACATTGCGTTTGCCCTGTAGTTGTTGTTAGATATCCCGATGAGAAGGACAGTGGAAATGCTAGTGGTGAACCTATTGTCTCTGTGGCCTCAGTGGAGGAAGAAGAAGACGAGCCGGAGTACCATGATGCTCATGATGATCGAAATACACTCGCAATGACGTTTTTACCCTCATCAGAAATTAATTCGAAGCATTAAATCTTTTTCCGGCCAAAATTGGCCGGTAATTTGGCCCGGAGGACCAAATCTGCCAAAAATTGCATAGTTAAAGGTTTAAATTGGGAGTTTTGAAAGTCACGTACTCAAATTGTCAGTACCCTAATACTCACAGGACCAAAAGTGCAATTTGTTCTTTTCGGAATAAGATGAGTCTCTCTTTATGACTCGTGAAGGGGATCTTCTCCTGTCTTCATACGCTTGGCTGCAGGTTCTTCACCATCTTCGTGGTTGCTTAATCCATTCACTGCTTCTGACCCAAAAGAGAGATATGTTTGCTCGTGATCTGTGCCCAGCCTTGAATTTTGGGCCCCAATGTCTTTTGGGATTGGGACGGAAGTGTGCAACCTTCTTTGCATGCAGAACAATTTTCAGAGAGGGGGGGGGGGGGGGGCTCGGGCTAAAAACCCGTGTGCTAAGCTAAAGCGAATGGACTAAAAAAAATATATGGAAATGTAAAAAGACAAAAGGAAAGGAAACTTACCGAGTGTTGGGGTACTTAGAAGCTAAGGAGGTAACTGAACAAACTTGCGTAACAATGGCTCAAGAGCGTCTGACCGATTTGCAGAAAAAACGTAGTGAAGGCCTTCGCAAGGGCCCTATTTATAGAAAAATTTTGGCGGGAAAACGCCTCGTTCTTTCCCGAGCGACGTCCGAGTATCAAACTTTACTCGGCCGGTTAGAAGGGCGGATATATCGGCCGCCTCCTTTTTGGTAAACAGGCATTCATGTTGATCCATCGTCTCGCTGTTAAGGAAAATCATCTTAGGGCCCTCCTGTGGGCTTCTTGGAGAACCCCCCGCAGCTTGCTCGGTCAATGCTCCTACTGAGTGAAGGGACAAGTGAGGGTCTGGGGTTCCCCCAATCATTTGGGTTGGATGTTCCCGATCGTGGTGCGCTGGGGATCTTTCTTCGCGTCCGGAAGTCCTAGTTTCCTCGCCCTCTAAAGCACATTGCAAGGTCTCGGCCGTAGCTTCTAAGGATTCCTCGATCACCGTCCTGTCGGTGTCGATCTCGACCTCGTCGTTGTAATCAGCCCCGGAGATGTTCTGACTATCTAAACTGGACATCTTCCCCCTTCATAGAGGATATGAGGGTGTTTCAGAGGGGGGGGGGGGGGGGCTCGGGCTAAAAACCTGCGTGCTAAGCTAAAGCGAATGGACTAAAAAATATATATGGAAATGTAAAAAGACAAAAGGAAAGGAAACTTACCGACTGTTGGTACTTAGAAGTTGGTGAGGTAACTGAACAAACTTGCGTAACAATGGCTCGGGAGCGTCCGACTGATTTTTACAGCAGAAAAAGCGTAGTGAAGGCCTTCGCAAGGGCCCTATTTATAGAAAAATTTTGGCGGGAAAACGACTCGTTCTTTCGAGAAGCTTAATCTGAATCCCTGGGCCACTAGGGCGCAACACGTGTCTGTCAAAGCCCGCAAGATCGCGGAGCGGTCATGGCATCTGGGGTGTTTATGAACTCCAGCCCGAGCCCTTTCTCCGTGACCCCTCGAAACAGACCCGGGCTGGGGGGCTCTTGATAGGTTATACACCGGATCGGTCTTGAACCACTGAGCGACTCTCCATTTTGCCTGATCGGTGCCGACTGCCTTGCTCTCCCCGTTCTTTCCCGACCGGTCTTCTCTTGTCTTGACCGCCACGCGCATTAACCTCGCGGGACCCCACGTGTTAGTGGTAGGCATTGCCAAAAGACCAAGGCTTAGCCGTCGACACGTATGTGCCACGTGCTTGCCATGCCGGTAGCCCGGGACGTATTTCCCTTGTCTTCGCCTATAAGTACTCGCATTTATTATGACAAGGGGGACTTTTCGATCGATTCTAGGACAAGCACCTATTCAGAGGCTCTCAACCACCACTTAGTCGGACGCTGAGATGGGGTGATTGGTTTAGCTACTAGTCCGCGTGCATTAGTACTATATATATATATATATATATATATATATATATATATATATATATAACACCTACAATCATATAAAAGTGTGCACTGAAAGGCACAACAATGTGGATCACCCCAATATTTATCAAATTTTGCCCTCATATTCATTCCCATAATCTTAACACGTACTACTAGATTCAACTTCCACCACATTATTTAATAAGCATGACATATCAGGAAAACTCAGAGAAAAAGGTGTTGGCCTTGTTTGGTAAATGGTTGTTAGCCGATAACTGTTAGCTGATTTGGTTAAATGGTATAACTAATTGATAACATTAGTTGATTGTAGAAATGTGTTTGGTAAATTAGAAGTTAGATGATAGTTGTTTGGTATAATTTTTTTTTTTCTCAAAAAGCTAATTGAAAAGGTTGCTTTGATTAGCTTTTTAAATTTTAGCATTTTGGGGTTACAAAAAACTTATTAACCAAACACTTAATTTGCTTATTTAACCAAGTCAAACAGCTAATAGTAGTCAAATAAGCCAAAATTGACTAATAAGCTAACTATTTTACCAAACGGACCAATATAAGTCACATACAAGGAACCAAATATCCTAACAATCATTTCATAGAAAGATTTTAGAATTTTAGCCAAAGAAGCAAACACAATCCCAATCCATGAAATCAAGTATATTTCCACCCAAATCAGCAATAAAAGATGTATCATGATCTTCATTATTCGTATTTATGTTTCAGTCATACCCATACATCAACTTGTATCCCAACAATGTATTATTCTGTACAAACTGTGGCATTTCGATAGAGACAAACCAACCATTACTCCGGTGGAACCCATGACAAGATGACAATCATTGGTGTGCCATACTTCAGTGGTCTCCATTTTCCAACTCCTTGTTCCCTTCATCTGTGGATCCTCCTGTGAAGTGAGACTTCAAACCTATCCAACACTGATAATAATCGTGATCAATGAAGGGCGATTCCAGTGCCCATGGACAGACTCGGGGTACGAGGCATGACTCGAACATGAAAGCCATCGTGCCTGTGATTCTATGCGGCCCTGCTTCATTTCCCAGGGCTATGGTTTTCTGTCAGCATTATAATATTGTTAGATCATAGATGCCTCTCTGGGAGCATTACAATGTTGTTAGATGTCTTTCTGTGAGCATTATACTGTTAGATTGGAAGAACACTATAGCAAACAGGCTGTAACTAACTATAAAAACAGAATGCTAGTGGTGGTTCTTGAGAATAATAATAATAATAATAATAATAATAATAATAATAATAATAATAATAAAATGTATAATTTCACTATCAGTTTAAACTTTTAGTTAAAACGAAACAAGTTATTCAATTTTGGAAGTATGGAGATGACGGGGGAGAGAGTGAGTAGATGATGTTTCACCTCGTATGTTTTGGTATCGGGACCATGGGGAGTCATGCAGCTATGGAGGCTTGCACCACCTGGAAGAAAGCCATCAGCTTTTGCCTGAAAACAGCAAATTGTGTTGAAATTCATGATTTATCACAAATTCCTTCTATGATGAACAAACCTGGTACTTTTAAGGATGTTCTATCCAGAAAGATCAAAATAATGAACATTACCAATTTACCATAGGCTACCAAAACCAAGATTTCTTTTCACCCCCTACAGAGCAAAAATAACCAAAGAATTTGAAAAGTTTACCTCGTATCCTCCATAGATCAGGCCCATAAATTCACTCATACAATTTCGGTGGTAATATGGAGGACGAAAAGTGTGTTCAGCAACCAACCATCGAGGTGGAAAAATGACAAAGTCCATCAATGCCACTCCTGGTTTATCTGTGGGTGCTGTCAAAACTGCATTTGGTTTTTGAAAATGAATCAAACAGAAGTTGCAATTCAATCTATCTAATAATACAAGACACCAAGCAACTTTTTGTAGAAAGGAATATACCTGTGTTTATTGATGGATCACTGTGATCAAACAAAACTGTGTTATAAGGGCAGAACTTGCTTAGATCATACTGCAAACAGAACACTTTTACTCCATAAGGATTAAGGAAACTACTATTGATAATTTTATCCAAGTTAGCATCTTCAAGAATATTTACCTTGTAAGGGGCATAATTGCCATGCCAAGCAACCACGTTGAATGGTGAAAACTCTTGTTTTGCAGTGAAGAGTTCACCGCCAAATTTTTGTACAATGGTGTAACCTGGATGGCAGCTATCATCAAACCATGCCACCGGGACAAGAAAATCCCTTGGAGCAGCAAGACCATTTGCACCTAAACAGAATTAAAGCATATCATATGATCCCTGATTTAACATGCACGGAGTGTTAAGTAATTTTGAATGTGCACCTATTGGCCCAAGATCAGGGAGTTGAAAATGAGTTCCAAAAATTTCACCAACATAACCTCGCGATTCTCCATCCGGCAGATCAACAGCAAAGCGAAATCCTTGAGGAATAACAACTATTTCACCAGGATTGACTTGCAACCTACCACATTCAGTTGTAATCCACAACCCTATATGGTAAACAAAAGATAAAGACAACTTCAGTGAACATAACAAAAAGAAAATCAGCAAGCTCTAAGAATATCACAATTAACCTTAAGAGAAGATGCAAAACTGGACCTTTCTTTTGAGCTGTAATATGAGCATGGGTGAATTATCCTACAATTACCACAAAATGTTCTGGAGGGGGAGACTAAGGGCCAAACAGAAGATAAGACAGCAGCTAGTAATCAGAATGAATGCTGAGTCTGTATCTTTTAAAATTAACCAAAGATCCAAAGTAATTCTTTAAAATTCTCATAATTTCTAAGAGGTTCCAGGAAAGTGAAATTGGTTTCACTTGGATTGTTGGATTAGGTACAATCAAACACATGGTCACTGAAAAACAAATGACTCATTAAACCAGTGAAGTGGGGCATCACTTACTTCCTTTTTGAGGAACTATCAAAAAGTCCCCATCAGCATTGCAAAATGCACAGTTGTCCATTGATTTGTTAGCTGTATACCTACATTTCCACAAGCACTTGAATTTATAACATAATGAAATTTATTCAATACTCTCAGCTAAAAGAGAACTGATGAAATGATAGGAATAAAGTCTTTCACATTAGCACTCCTTGAATTAGGGGTTTCTTATTTGCTCTCTACTTAAAAAAATAAAATAAAATAAAAAATAAAAAAAACCAACTAATGATGCAAAATTTGAAGTTAAAGCTGCAAAAATCATAGATAAAGTTTGTCAGAGGCAAGACCTTAAGTCTAAATATGAAGATTAAATCACTTCACAAGATACCAATACATTCCAGAATTATATATATAGCATATAAATGAGATTGAACCCAAATTACATGTGAATTGCAAAACCATGCCGGAGGTAAGAGCTGCCAGCTCCACATACAGTGTACAGCCCATCAATGAAATCAGTTGGTGTTTCTGGGATATCCACAGGCTTCCACCGTAATTGAGTAGGTGTAGCAGAACTATTTGACTGGTTGAACTCACTGACAAGTCTTTCATGAGTTGGAACTCTAGGTTTAAATGGCTCATGGGTAACTGATGGCTTAACACGATAGAACCAGCTGTCCACCAAAAAAAAAAAAAACATTATACAATAAAATCACATGCATCAATAATGAAGACTTGGAGAGACACATTCATAGGAATGCACCTTAATGCAACTTATGAAAGCTGCAAGTGCTTTCAAGTAACTAGACGCATCTATAGCATTGAGACCTATTGGATCACCCAAACCACAAGTGTATAAATGGAAACACATTGTTACGCATCAATCTTCAACATGCTCAATTACCTGTTAGGTTTTCACTTTAAACAGAGATAATAAACATACGGTAAGAAAATTAAAAATACCCATGTTTTAGTACTTTATCACTCTTAAAGTAGAAATTTAATACAATAACTCTCATCCATCACATGGACATGGTAACAACCAGCAATAATTCTTCTTCCATTTTTGTTGAAACTGACTTCTTGTTTGTGAATATGTCACAGTTTAAGTTTCGTTTCAAAACATAGGTAAAATACATTGAGACAGCGTCAAAGTTCCATAGCAGATTCTAACAAGTATAACTCCAATGCTTTGAAATATTAGTTTTAAAATAAAAATTATGTTTTATTTAGTAAGATAAAGATAAATTTTATAGAAGTATATTTGTAGAAAATAATTATATTATGGAGGTAAATCAAATCAAATTTGATCAAAATTTAAAACGGACAATAAAAAATTAATATTGGCAGAATGTATAGGCATTAGAAATTTTAATTAAAATTATAATTGGATGCGAGATTTTTGAAGTTTAAAAAACTTTTCGAGCTATTAAACCATAAATAAATCGAACTACAATGAATAGATGGTGGCTAGCAACAGTAATTACATGTACCAGGTGTGTTATTTGATGAAAAAATTAACAAAACATTTTTAAAAAATTAACCGAAAATTTAACTGGAATCGGAAAAAAAAAATTACTCGTAAATTAAAAGTATACTTTAATTAGATACAAATAATTAGATAAAAATATATATATATATATAAATTACGCACATAAATAATAATCAAATTATAATTTAATTCTAGAAATTTAGTACATAAAAATTAATACTCCGTATCACGGAAGGGAAATCGTCCTATGATCTGCACTTTCAAGTTTCAACTACCAAAATTTCACTACCTCTTTTCCAAACTTTCAAATTAGATGCATGTACCGCGAACTTCAACGAAGCAGTTCTCACAAACCAGATGAATACAGTTAAGATTTCAGATACGGACACAGAATAGAGAGAGAGAGAGAGAGGCAAAAACCTGAGCTGATTGAGTTTGCGAGGGGAGGTGAAAGAGGTGCCGGAAATCTGCTCAGCGTATAGGCCGAGAGGGCAGACAAGCGGACTGTTCTGGCCTCTGGGAAGAGCTCCGGCGATCGCCTCCGAGGAGAAGTGGTTGCCGAAGCCTGATTGGTACTCCAAATCCGCCGGAAATTTGGGAGATCCGGTGACATTATCATCCTTACTCTCCATGTCCGTAGCAATCCAAGTTCAATTACTTCAAAGCTCGCTCAGTACAGAGGCATGGATAGAAGTGATCAGAAGAAGGTATATGAAGGAGCTGTGCTGTCGTGGCGCGATTATCCGTTACTTGGTTACATTCAGTCAGAGTGTCGTAGCAACCTCTCCAAACTCTTTGCTCATTGTCGCTCTCTTTTGAGATTTTAGACATTTATTTTTCTTATTACTAATTTTGTACACGTGTAAAAATAGATCTCTCTCCAATATTAAAATTTTAGTTATATTAAAATATTTTTTAAAATAATAGTATATATACATTTTTAAATAATAATTTATAAGTCAAAGGTCTTGTGGTCTAGCGATATAGCTATGGTCCCTCAAATAAGATATCTCATTGTGGGGTATTGACTCTGTTAGAAATAAACTTTTTGTGGCTCAAATTCAATAAGACAACATGCCACCATCCACGTTGCCTGCTCAATGTGTGTCTCTTGCATGTTTGCCGAAAGCTATAGATTTCCATATAATTGTCGCAACTGCTGCATGATGCTCTCCTTCTTCCTGCGCTATTTTCTCCTCTTTCGATGTATAAATAGCTTTAGATTCCTTGTTTTTAATACACCTCTTACATCATTTGAATTTTCTTCTTTGTTTTTGTTCTCACATACAAATATATATATATATATATATATATATATATATATATATATATATATATATATATATATATATATATATATTTCATTTGTTATTCTCTTTTGAGAATTTATATATATATTTTATATTTTCCCATTTTATATTAGATTCATTTGTCATTTATATAATTTTCTTCATTTACATATTTTTCCTATTATTTAACTTCTATAATTCTCAATTTTTTATTCTTCGCTTCCGCATTATTCCGCTATATTCCTAACAAGTGGTATCAAAGCGGTTTAATTGAGAGTTATTTTCAAAGATGTCGACTGTTACCAAGTTCGATATCGAGAAGTTCGACGGAAAAATTAGCTTTTCTATCTGAAAGGTTCAGATGGAAGCCGTTCTAACCCAGAACGGTTTGAAGAAAGCGCTAGCTGGGAAGAAGAAGAAACCGACTGCAATGACAAATGAAGATTGGAAAGATTTGGATGACAAGGCACGTTCAACCATTCTTTTGTGCCTGTCTAAAGAGGTTCTACGTGAGGTGGTAAGTGAGATGACGACGTCAGATTTATGGTCCAAGTTGGATACGCTTTACATGGCCAAAACTCTGGCGAATACGCTACGCCTGAAGGAGCGTCTGTACACAATCCGTATGACGGAAGGTACTTCTATTAAATCTCACTTGGATGAATTCAATTCTATTTTATTGGACTTGAAAAATATTGATGTCATAATTGAAGATGAGGATCGTGCTGTTTTATTGCTTGTCTCTCTCCCTAAATCGTACACGCATTTCAAAGAAATTATGCTGTATGGTAATAGTAGTGATACCCTTACTTTCGACAATGTTAAGTCAAACCTATTGTCCAAAGAAAAGTTTGACTTTGAAATTAAGTCTGAGGACAAAGGTGAAGGTTTGACCGTAAGGGGTCATTCACTTGAATCAGAGAGTAGCAATAAAAAATATAGATCCAAGTCCAACAAATCCTGTAAGTACTGCAAGAAGCATGGTCATGATGTGACTGAATGCTTCAAGTTGAAAAACAAGCAAGAGAGAGAAAAGAAGTCCGCTGAAGCTAGTGTTGTTGAAAGTGATTCAGATGGTGATGTGTTGCTATCTGTTAGCTCCGGTGAGAAACGGAGTGAAACCGAGTGGATTTTGGACTCTGGTTGTACATTCCACATGTGTCCCCACAAAGATTGGTTCATTTCTCTGGAACCGGTTGATGGTGGAGTTGTCTTGTTGGGTAATGATACCCAATGCAAGGTTAGTGGAATTGGACGTGTTCAAATTAAAACTCATGATAACATTATCAGGACTTTTGCCAATGTTCGGTATGTTCCTGATTTGAAACGCAATCTGATATCCTTGGGCACCTTGGAATCTCTGGGGTGCAAGTACATAGCTGAAGGTGGAGTTCTGAAGGTCATAAAAGGCTCTCTTGTTCTTATGAAAGCTTCTTGTTCTGGAAGCTTGTACATCTTGCATGGCAGTATTGTGACAGGTTCAGTAGCGGTATCCTCATCGATGTCTGATGCATCTACTGGCGTTGCACCTCTCGTCGAGCCACAACGAGAGTATTCCATTGCTATGGATCATCCTAGGAGGACAATTAAAAAACCTGCTAGGTACGCTAGTGACGATGAAACCAATATGGTTGCTTATGCTCTTTCAGTCACACAGGAAGTTGATGGTGATCCATCCTGCTATTCTAAGGCTCTCCCTATTGCTAAGTTCAAACAGTGTTTGAGTTTAGTCGATGTTCCAGTTGTTAATTCCCATAGTGGATTTGATCCAAGGTGGAGATTGTTAGAAATAAACTTTTTGTGGCTCAAATCCAATAAGGCAACATGCCACCATCCACGTTGCCTGCTCAATGTGTGTCTCTTGCATGTTTGCCGAAAGCTATGGATTTCCATATAATTGTCGCAACTGCCGCATGATGCTCTCCTTCTTCCTGCGCTATTTTCTCCTCTTTCGATGTATAAATAGCTTTAGATTCCTTGTTTTTAATACACCTTTTACATCATTTGAATTCTCTTCTTTGTTTTTGTTCTCACGTACAAATATATATATATATATATATATATATATATATATATATATATATATATATATATATATATATATATATATATATTTTATATTTTCCCATTTTATATTAGATTCATTTGTCATTTATATAATTTTCTTCATTTACATATTTTCCCTATTATTTAACTTTTATAATTCTCAATTTTTAATTCTTCGCTTCCGCATTATTTCGCTATATTCCTAACATACTCTTTGTGTTTCAGTAAATTGAGAAAGTATATATATGAACAGATACTACGCTCTAATAGAGGTAATAGCATTCAAAAATAATAATAATAATTTATAATTTCATATTATATTAAAAGTATAATTGATAAATTGAGAATAATTATGGTATGAATAATAATAGTTAAAGAATTTTAGATATAGTAAATGATTAAATATAATTATGATAATATTTAATACATACTAACGGAAGTTTAAAGGTGTAAAATAATTTTGTTTGATAAAAATAATAATACTCCTTATCCTCTAATCCTCTAATATAAAAATGCCATAAGAAGCAGTAAATGCATTTTTGACAAAAATTCCCGCCCACAACAAAACAGCGCCGTATAATGATAGTCGAAATGTTTTTTTTTTTTTTTTTTTTTTTCCGTCCAAGCATGGGTTCTATCAATGGTAATAAATTACCGTCCAAATCTTATTTTAAAAAGGGTAGTATTCAGATTTTTTATGCCTCTGTATATGTGAAATGAAAGAGTATTAATTGCCTAGGACTATGAAACGTTTTGCTCAGTCTTCATATTTCCAAGACATGAATCTATCTTCTTTGTTCAATACACAGCACTATATCTTCAGCCTCTATATAAAGCTTTGTTGATATGAAGATGCACACCCATATATATTCTCCTGCGATGCACTTCTGATACACCTTGGAAAGCATCCACGAGGAGGAACAGATGAAGAACACAGTTTCTTAAAGATTAAGGTGAGAACACCTGCACAATCTGCTAAAGCTTTACATATCCTCTTCAACTTTCTTATGAAAAAAAATAGAATTCTAGAAAATCTGCATATATATGGTTGGTACCGCTTATTTAATCTTTCTCTAACTCTTTATCATGTGATTACAGTTAAAATTTAGAGAAAGAATATATATTTACCCGTATATCAACCGATCATTAAAATGCTTTAACACCTTCGGAGAGAGCAGCTTTAACACCTTAGTAAGCAGCTTCTATTCTATAAATACATATATACAAGTTGTCTTTTGAATGATATCTTTCTTTCTTTGTTATGTTACGTTCAATGGATTATAAACAATGTGCTTAGTTGGTGTCCTGATTTGCGTGCAGTGCGGCACATGCAGCCACCCGTGCAGGTGCAAGGTGGTAGGGCCAACGCTGGGGTTCTTGGCGTTTTCGGCGGCGGCGCTGGTGTAGTGACCAGTGGGGGTGGAAGGAGAAGAAGATGGGGTGGTAGGTGATTCTCAATTCATCGTGACTGCGACGGCGGTAGTGGCAGAGCGTATAACGGGGAGTGATTGTTGATCGGAGAAGAGAGGAATGCAATGGAAGAGAATCTGAGAAGAAGCAGCACCATGTTTTGGACGTTTTTGAAGAGCCGATAACGGGGAGTGATTGTTTATCGGAGAAGAGAGGAGAAACACCACGTGCTCTTTTTATTTTATTTTATTTTTGAATGAAAATATTGGATTATTAAGAGGGCTTATCGTTGTTTCTGGGCATGTTTTTATCCCACAAAAAAATTTATAACTTTTGAATACTGAAGAGTTTAATAATAGTTATGTCTAGCGTTTTTAGACCACACGAACTTAAAACTCTTATGTGTAGTAATTCTAAAGAATGTTGTACTCTATTGTAAATGTATTTTATGATGAAGTGTTCAATAATTTGTAATATTGCATTCATATACGATTGTTGTTTATTTTGTTACTAATGTTTTTATACTCAAATTGATACAATATATAATTACAACTTATTTTTAAAACTTGATAAACAATAATTTTATTTAATTTGTGATCCGTGAATGGCACGAGTAGAATTGTGGTATAACAATGAACTATTTGTGGTATAACAAAATTTAAGAGTTGTAGCCATGAAAAGTCAATCTTAGCATTTTGCTTATCCTACTTCTGAAAAACTTTTAAAAATAAAAACATGCCAAAAACCACGGTTATAAGCCTATTAATACTCAAAGAATTTTAAAAAAAAAAAAAAAAAAAACAAGATTATATACATACAAGTATGCAATATCCTTCATTATAGGTCTATAATCTCAAATATAATAATAATTTTAAAACTTAATATCAATTTTAGAAAACAAATTAGAGAATATGATAAAAAAAAATTAGCTTACTTTGACAAAACTAAGGAATACTAATCAATAAAAATTACCAAAAATATTTATCATAATAAAATTTATGCAAACATTATCACATGTGAGGTTGTTACCAAAAAAATCGGTGTTTATGCATTATAGTCAATTGTATGTCG